GTAAGTTAATTAGTTATAAACTTATGATAATGATATTATTAGTTAGATGTATTATATAATGTATATTAGTTTATGTAATATAATTGATATTATCAATTATATGAATAATTATACATGTCTACTAATAGAATTTATTAATTAGTTATACTAAATTTACTAATACATTAATATACTAAATTTCTAATTACACTTAATAGAATAACACTTTTTTCTAAAAAAAAAACACAAACACAATGATGAATTAGTGATTGCATTTGTACAAAAAGTGAAAATTTGACTATTTTAGTTATATTTATTTCATCATATTGGATTGTATTCAAATAACTTCTGTTTGATTGTTTTTATGAGTTTCAATTGTAAAATTACAATGAATAATAATTTGATGATGTGTTGATATTTTAGTACTTGATTATTTATTAAAATTTAATTATAATAAAATTGTATAATAAAATTTTATTAACCCCACGGGTGCCCCGCGGGAGAAGCGGGGCACGTCCCCCGCCCCGTTGCCATCCCTACACTAAAGTGTTAAAGGTCTTGATTATTTTTGTTTCTAGTGGTATCTTTTGAATCTCTCTCTTCGAAAGCTTGTCTCACGCATTCACACTGGTGTGTGGACAAACACAGACATATTTATGGAACTCTAAGAAATTTTTGTCCCTCTTCTATGTCTCGGATTATTTTCCTTTAATTTCCCAATAGAATATAGGATTCGGTGTTTACTGATTAGAAGAATTTTCAGTTCAATTCATATTGGTTCATGGCATTCTTGACTTAATTAGAATTCTATATTCTCTGAATGCTATACTATTGTCATAGCAAGATTTAAAGTTTTGCTAGAAGAAACCGATCTCAATAGATACTCAACCAATTTTCATTTGAGATAATCTGAGGGACTAAAGTGTTAAAGGTTCCAATTCATTGAAGTCCGCTTTTAACATATGCAATTGAATTCAATAAATGGCCTAGCATGTATTGAGCTGCAACAAACTTCTCTAAATGCAATTACCGATTTATAGTTCTAGCTAGTATATATAGATCTCGTGAATCAAATTCTTATCACCCAACTTCGCTCTTTTCCTTCTCTCTGATCCATTCTCATTCGGTTACACTGTTCTATTTTACTTATTAGTGGTAAGCATGCTTGTCTCTACTTTCTTTTACTCTTGTTTTCTAATTGTATAATTAGTTTTCTTCTCTAAAAAGTCTTTACTTCCTTTTTGTTTTCCACTGTAATTAATTAGCAATTCTTTTCAGAGGAGTTGCAAGTAACGTCATCATTTTTTCCCTAATTTTTTTTTCGTCTCTCAACATTTATTGTATGTTGGGGGTGTCAAACAGCACTATGACAGCAATATTTTGTAAAGAACTTAACATTTTATTATTTGGTTTCATGCTCATGGATTGTTAATGATGACGTTTTGTTTGATTAATTAGATAATCACTATATATCTATTTGTTTAAGTAAAAGTGTTTGTATATGATGTAGCTAATTTTGGTAGAATATATTGAATCATGCGTCAAAGCCTGTTGTTTGCCTTGCAGGAATTATAATATCTTGATCATTAGTTAGTTAACTTTGCCATTCATTTTGGTAATTACTTTTTCTTTGTTGGTTACCTCATCTTCTTTCTCTCTGTATTATAAGTTGCATTTTCTTCTCTCTCTGTAGATGGCTGACGCCCCTTATGACATAGTTGTGTACTACAAGAATGAAAAGGCAATTATTAGGAATGTGAACCCTAACAACTACTCTTTTCTCCATCTTGTGAATGAAGTCTGTGAAGCTGCAATTCATGATGCACCTGGGAATGAGAGCATTATGATAGACCTTAGTTGTGAGTTTCTTGGTACATCACGTATGCTGGATGTGTCCAGTGATGAAGATACGAGACTCATGTTTTTCATGTATAGAAAAATCAGAGTCATCAATCTACATGTGAAAATAAGTAATGTTGCTCCTCTGATTGTATTAGATGAGAGTGCACTGAATTTGAACGATAAGATAAACATGAATGATGGTGATAGAAATGCCAGTCATGAAAACCTTGCTTCCGACCTTGGCGTTGTGAATGAAGATAGTGATAGTGGCTCAACGGGAAGAGTAAATCAAGATTGAAGAGTCAACCATGAGGCCAATGCTGCACCAGATAATGAATGTTGAAGATCACAATTATGTATGTAATTACTTGTATGAAGAGGTTTGGTTTTGATGTGATATATGATTATAGGCTTGGATGGTGAAATGAAATTCTCACATATAAATGAGGAAGAACAGTTCCTATTATGACTCATTGGATTGCTAGGAATATAATGAGTCTAATACAAGTGACTATCTGCTTAATGATATGAAAATGAATATGCCATGTTAAAGTAATTATAGGAAAAGAAATACATTCAGAGTCTCTTTACACTTCTACTTGACTTGGTATATTGGTCTACTAGCCTAAACGAGTACTTACAGTTACATCTAACTATGGGCTACGTAATCCTCTTCTTCCTACCTAGCTTTTCGTGACCTCTCCCTTAAACAATATGAGTGGCATTGTTGAGCCAAATACATTCTCAAATCCCAAAAAACTTGATAGACAACTAATGCAATAAAAAGTATGAACAATAATTAGCACTGATTAAGATTTGAAGTTCAGATCCATATAGATAAAACTTGAAATTTACGCGTAAGAAATTCAGCTTGTTAGAGATTGACTTGCTAAAGCCTCACTTGAGTGAGGAGTGAGGCTCAAACAGAATAGTAAGCCTTTTAGAATAAAAGTTAAGCTAACCACTGAGTTTTGGCTCATTGGCTACAAAAAAAGGACGAAGGGCTTTTTTGTGATGTAGGTCAGGGGGTTTGAACTCTACATGTAGTAATCTGCAATAAAAAATTTCGAAAGAAATATCAGAGTATCCCTTTAATCTAAGTCAGTTTTGTATACCTATTTGTATGTTTTGAAAAAAATTCAAAAGAAATGCTAGAGCACCAATGCACCCCTTTATACTAAAACACATCCTTGTGTACTAACTCCTTATATGCCCAACTCGGGATAGCTCGAATGGTTCGTTGCTCCTCTTTAGGATATGGTGACCACGGTTCGAGTCCCCGGAAATAACGCGTTTGAGGGGATATTGGGCTTCTCCTCTTTGACTGCAGGGGGAATAGTCAGGCCGAAAACTCAGATACCCCTGTATCGATAAAAAAAAAAAAAAAGTATACTAACTCCTTGTAGAGCCTTTTATACAGATGACATAAGAAGGCATTCTTGAATATTTTGCAGTAGCAATAGATGCAACGGAATTTTTTTTTTTTCGCCTACTTCTCCGGCCCATTACTACAATTCTTGACCCACATGCGTTGAGCCTAAGCCCACTATAATTTTATGTGGCCAGAGCATTGGACATAAAATAACCCACTATTCGAATTTTGGAATATACGATTGTCTTGTAAACCACTCTAAATACTCCATTTTAAAAAAAAAAAAGAAACTCCAGATTATGTTACATAAAATATATGTAAATACATACAAAAAATTTAGTATTCCTCTTTTGGACTTCCATTTCTAGATAACTTTTCATCGTTTTGCCCTCTAGCTGAATTTTTTAATCATTATTTATTTGATCATACATTTTGTCAAATTAAAGACGTAGACTTAGGCAGATAACTCTTATGCCATCCCTGTTTAGATTGTTATTTTGGAGAGTTTTTGCAGAAAAATGTACTGTAACGATTTGATACATGTGAAATAAAAAGTGATTGGAAAATATATTTATAAAAAATGTAATAATTTTTTTTTTCAAAAAATCACAATTCAAACAAGGAATCAGCTCACATGTACTCATATTCATATTTCACTTTTCAGATTTGAAATATATACTTCTAGAATTTCGTGCAATTAGGGTGATTTCAAAGTTTTTCAATATTACTTGACCGCCAATTTGCCAAATCTTTTTCAACCTAACGTTCGTAACTTTTATACCTCAAATGCTTAGACATTAATTTTTCATTGAAAAAATTTTAGTTCCACGCTACACAAAACACAAAAAAGAAAAATGAACTACAATATCTACCTTAATTTCAATTATGCCAATTTTTTCTGATAGAAAGCAAATTTCATTAACAGATTGTTGAAAATTAATTGTCCAACATGCTTTAATTTATATCGCTGCCCCAATGACAAATTAAACATACACTAGAAATTACAAATATATAATTTAACAAATACAATAGATCTAAAAAAATCAAGAACAAACCTGAAAGGTACAACAAATTTTAAAATCGTCTTCCAATAGATAAATTGCTGCACTTCCTTTTTCTCTTCAAATTTACAGTATCTATTCTTTATTTCTGTTCTTTGAAATCTACGTATGTTCGATGATATAACTTCTATTATTAGTGTAGATGTTGATGGAATTGTGATTTTTTTTTTTTTTTTGAAAAAAGCCCACAACTTGTCCAAGGCAGTGGGCCACTTGTTTAACACAGCCTTTGTGCAGATGGCCATGGCAGGATCAGGTATCAATGTGCAGATGGATTTGGGGCAGGGACGGTCATCAATATGACCATCCTGCACAGTTAAGGATCAAGATTGGCCCTCAAAATTTTGTACGATTAAAATTACATCATGTAACTCGATTTTCGCATTAAGTGTGGGGTTCACTACTATCTGTTGTGAAAATATATCCTGTGAAAAAAAAGTTACACGATATACAAAAAAATTACGTCCAATTAATAATGATTACAATTAGCAGAGACGGTTGCACCTGCAACCGTCCGTGCCTCGAGTCCATGTGCAGATGGCCATGGCAGGATCAGGTATCAATAGTTATCAGTAATAATCGTTTTAAATGATGTATAATTTTACATGAATTATTTATAAAATTTAATAATAGAGATATAATTATTACTTGTAATATATCATATGTCTGGTAGGAGGATGCACGGAAAGTCTAGGTAGAGTTACAAAACGTGACAAAAATTACACGGTTCAGTGTCAACCAAACCTGCCCCACTTCCGGCCATAACTGAGACAACTTCTCAGAACTTGACACTCTGAAAAGAAAGAACCCCTCTCTGGAGCTCTCTCTTCGGACCTCTCGTTGCTCTAGAACCCCTTCAGAATGCGAGAAAGAACCCGAGAAAAGAAAATCAATACCAGACCCGAACCCCAATTCCAGCCAATTATCAGCTGTATTCCTGATGATATTTTGCTTCAAATATTCACAAGGCTTCCGGTCAGATCCCTGGGGAGGCTCAGCTGCGTTTCGAAATCTTGGCATTCCTTGATCTTCAGCCCCAATCTCGTCAAATCCCATTACAAAAGATGCACGGAAGACAAGGAAAACGAGCATCATAGGATCATGTTCTTTAAGGTTGAGCTGGAACATGATGAAAGGCTCGGGTACGGGTCCGAGCTCGGGGTCAACTTTAGGCTCAGGCAGTTTGGGTGTTCCCTTCATAGTGCTTTTTCCTGTGTGGTACCCAAGAAAATTGAGGTAACCAGCGGCTTTATTGGTAGTATTCCTGTTGAAAAATTCAGGTATTATAGAAACAAGGCTTGGGGTTGTTGTCATGGGTTGGTTTTGATCATGGTTGAGCGAGAAAGTATGTTGTTGTGGAATCCTGCTACAAGAAAGTACAGAGAGTTGCCTGATTCTGGGATTAGAAAGGAGCATAAGTTACCTGGCTCTTCTCGCTTGTCATGTGGGATTGGTTATGATGAGTCTAATGATGATTTTAAGGTTCTTGTACTTTCCTCAGTTGGTGGTACGCGGAATGAGACTCTGGCTAAGGTTTATAGCTGGAAGACGGATTCTTGGAAGAAGATTGAAGATCTTAAGTACTCTTTGATTGAGCTAGGCGGCTGTTATTATCTGAATGGGATTTTACACTTTATTGCATATGATCCTCAAAGTCGCGGTACTTGGAATATGGCTTCTGAGCGGAAAATTGTAGGTTTTGATTTGGCGAATGACATTTTTAAACAGATAGAACTCCCTGAAGAATTGATTACCAAATGTACGTGGAAAATAGGAACATTAAGAGGATGCCTCTCTTTGTTCGTTTATTCTGGAGGCAATCAGGTGGATGTATGGCTCATGAAGGAGTATGGAGTAAGAGAATCTTGGTCTAAAGTGGTTGTTGCTCCTTTTTTTCAAGATCCTCATGGTACTGTGTTCAGCAAGCCTTTGATTTTATCAGAGAATGGTCGGCTTTTGTTTGTGACTGCGCCAAGACCAAAGTTGGGAGTTTATGATCCAAATGAGAATTCACTCCACTATTCTCAGTTTATTAACTTGGAATATCCTTATGAAGCAGATGTGTGTGTTGAAAGCTTAATTTCTCCGTAATGCTGTTCATGGATTAAAAGGGACTTCAACCATAAAGGTAATTAGGGCTTTTCTAATTTTCACCTGCTGAATTATTTTTTTATTGCTGATCTCTGTCCAGTAACACTTAATTTTCTGCACTTACATTATTCACTAAATTTTTACTGTCTGTATGACATAAACAAAACCATCGGAATGAGAAGTATTGCTGAGAAAGTATGCATTGATCAAGGATTTGCTTTTCTATATTATTTGCTTTATTCCAACCATAGGGCTCAGATTAATTGAATTTTCTTGTTCTGCTTACTTCTTTACTTGTTTGTGTCTAAGCAAAAAGAATGGAACTCTTTGATTTCTAACCATTATTGTATTTCCTGATACTTTGGACATTCTCATCAATGAAATTCACAAAACTCATTCCAGGAAATGTTTTTCTTGTGCTTCATATGTATCTTTAATTGATGCTATCGTGGTGTAGATCATTGATTCATTTTGATAGTCTTCTCTGTTTATTTGTTCAAGAAAGCAAATAAATTAACTTTTTCCTAACATGGCTGTTTTCTTTTTCTGCCCATAGTTAATACATTATGCTCAAACGTGTATCTTCTGTGCCCTTTTTTATAGTTCAAACCCAAATTGCCTTTTAAGAACTCAACCAGAAAAATGTATTCTATAGGAGCAAAGAAGCAAAAAATGAAATCTTTTGAAGCATTCTTAGCATATTTCTTAATTGCCCATATGGCAGAGGTCGTTTGGAGCTATACTGCATAGCACATTTCACTGTTTGTCCTATATTGAAGGGAAATGCACAATGCACTAAATCTGAATTTTCCTTATGTATATAAATACATATTCTGCTATAAAAGCACTATGTTCCTGTTGTCTGCCAAATGTATTTGATGAATCTGTCAATGTTCTTATGCATAAAGGGAAAGAAAATTTAAGACACGTTTGCAGTACAAACATAAATCTAATCAATATAGAATCATGTTATAATAAGCAATCCAACATCCTAGACTAGTGTGATAGAATCATGTCATATGCATCCAACATCCTAGACTAGTGTGATAGTCATTTAATTTATCTCCTATGAAGTCATCTTCATTGTCATTGGACTTATAACACTGAACATCTTCCTCTTCCTTTTTTCATCATGTATTTAAACTCATTCTCTTCATCAATGGGGCAAACTGTTGAATTGAAGAAGACGAGCAATAAGAGAGATATTACCTACACAAGCAGAGGTTGGAGAGCGAGAACTGTGGTAAGAAATGAGAGGAGTGTTGCAAGACAACTCTGGTTTTTTCCTTCAATGTGCCGCAGATTTGCCCCTTCTTTTTGTTTGGAATTGTGAAATTGTGTGTATTTGGGTTTCACGGGTCACAACAAAAGAAGTACAGCCAGTTGATTTAATTGTTAAAGATCCATGGGGCCAGATTAGACATCTCCAAAACTTTAGGAAGGCATGCTAGTTAGTGGTAGGCACTATAGCGCAACACTATTGGAAAGTCCCTATACTAACACTGAACTAGTTGAGGATGTAGCCCATGTTTAATAGCTATGTTTCTTACTTAATCATCAATATCTCTTGTTGACATGGTAGATTATGAACTAGGTGTTTGCTTCGAGGCTGCAGGAATCAGGAATGCAATAACTTTATTTAGAGTTTCTCAACCAATTTTGATGCCCCTGCAATATTTGTGAATCAGAAAATGCCCTTTTTTGGATTTTTCACTTGTCACTATTCTATCGAGAACTATCTCTTAACCTTTAAAATTAACCATATTACTAGGGGTGTAGCGATATTTATATTTACTACGGCACAGTTTTAATTATTTTTATTTCTAGTGATGTCTTAAAAATCTCTCTTTGGAAGCTTATCTTGTGCATTCACACTAAATAATCCAACCTTGCTCATCAGTGAAGTCCACTTTCATGGTAATTCCCATTCGAGAAAATCCTAAGATGTTGAAGGTGTCAATTTATTGAAGTCCACTTTTAACATATATGCAATTGAATTTAATGAATGACTTAGCATGTCAAGGTGCAACAATTATTGTAAATGAAATTGCCTGTTTACCATAGTAAGAAATGAGAGGAGAGTTAAGGTCACTGCTTTTGTCCTTGAAATGCCACACATGTGCCCCTTCTTTTAGTCTAGAAATGTAATGATTTTATGTAACAGGGTTGCATGAGTCACAAATTAAGATGTACAACCAGTTGGTTTAATTTTTTAGGCTAAGATCCACAATAGTCAAATAGCCCAGATTAGAAATCTACAAGACTTTAGAAAAGCATGCTATTCAGCAGTATCTGCTATCACACACATGCTGAGTGCTATTCAAAAGTCGTTACGCTGTACACTATAGCACTGAACTACATTAGGGATGTAACCTGCTATTGACAATTATGTTTGTTGTTTTGTCCCTTTATCTCTAATTGGCACCTAGTTCTTAACCAGGTGTTTGTGGAGGGTATGGGAATTAGAATTTGATGGCTCCATCCAGGTTTTTTTTACATGTTGATGCCCTTGCAATATTTGTGAACAGGTTTACCATTTTTCTTTTTTTTTTTTTAAAGTGCAAGTGGGAGGGTTCGAACCCAAGACCTGCCACTTACACTCCTTCCCCCTGAACTACCCAACCCATCCCTCCCCCCGTGTGAATAGGATTACCGGTTCTCTGTTTATCAAAGAGAAGTGGATTACAGGAAATCAACTTTTGTTTAAACATTAGAAGGGAAACAGAAAGGGTCCTATCTTTGCTTCAGCAATTGTTGCATGATCTGTAAACTTCTAAAAAATATCTGCTAGTCATCGGTTTTATTTGGGGTTGGTCAACAGTTGAATTTGGGGTTGGTCAACTAGTCATTGGTTTTATTCTCTTGCTGCTCGAGAAATCCTGTCTATTTCAATTTATCCTGTTCAAATGAGACAACTTCTAAGAACTTGACACCAGACCGTTATCTTGTTTCAGACATGTTTGGGACTAATTCTTTGGTCATAGGTACTGGCTATCCAGCTGAGGCTGTAAATTATCCATAACAGCATTCAGTTGTACCATGCCCTCGTAATTGTGTTTCCTACTTAAATGAACATCAACCTTTCCTGATGTATCTTTCTCAACATGAATGTCTAATCCTGGTTTTCTATCCAGATTATGCACATCAGTAACATCTGTGGTTGCTATATCCCCAGTCAGAGCAAAAGAACCCTCTCCTGCTGCCATTGATGTTGAATATCCAATATATCCATGTTTAGCTAGAGCATGTTTCACTGCATGGACTACAGAGTCAGAACGGTCATGAAGTTTAACTGCTAGTTATAGTAAAGAACATTTTGCGAACTTCAGGTAGTTATCTAGTTTGGCTAACTGTTTACCATTTTTGGAGGACATCTTTGGACATTTCGCATCTACAATTGACTTCATCCTTAGCAATGTAGACTTTTCTGATATGTAAGGCTGGAAGAGAAGTTAATATGTCATGTTAAAATGATCAAAAGTTAGAAAATATTAGCAGCATTTCTGTTCAAGCTTGTATGAAGTAGAGTTGAATCAATATGCTTTAGACTTTTGAGAAATCCCCTTGAACAAGTGGTGTTGGACTAGGTAGATAAATTAATCTTGAGCATTGGTGTTGGACATATTGTATAAATATCTTTGATATATACAGTTACTCAGCTCCGGCTATCATGCACTAACTGGAATAAATTACCACACAATGATTGGACTAAGATTCTTGAGAACCGTTTTGAAGAAACAGCGAGGGAAGTTTGATGAGCTACATGATGAAATGAAGTACCTTCTTGGAGCTTCAGTCAACGAAGTAGGAATATTGATTTTCTCTCTTTCTGGCTTCTGCGTGCGAAATGGTAGAAGACTCGACCAAAGATTCAAAGAACTGGAGGTTGCGCTTTTTCCTCCCTACAAGATTTTTGAGAAACTCTAATTTTTTACTCCTTTATTGGCATTATATCGACCTCAGTACTTGAAATCAGAAATCATGTATTGGTCTCATTCCAGTGTACATTTTCTTGAATCGGTTGACCTCTTTGAAATTTGATCGAAAGAGAAATTTCTTGGCTATCATTCTTAAACCTATCAGACATACATCTTATCTGGTGAATTCCTCAATGTCCAGAATCCAACACATTTTCCAGCAATTCATGCATTGGAAACTTGGGGTTGATTGGATTTCCTTGAAAAACATAGGTGGAGAATTTGAGGGGCCACCGTCAATGACCAATAAATATTTTGTTTATCAATTTCTGAGAATTTTTCTGCACCTAAAATGGTAAAATTTTACATACAATCTGAAACATTTTATAAGCAGAAATGAGAATTGAATATGACTTGCAGTGACAAGTACAACATGCAAATTCACATTATTCTCCTCTCTCCAATGGCACCTCACACAAAAAAGTATGCAACGTAAAAGAACACCACTTGTTGGTAAATTTTGATATCAAGGGCTAGGAGTAAACTATTAAATAACACTATTGATCTTTTTCCTTGTATGCAAGTAAATGTCTACCCTTTTGTTTTCTTCACAAAAATAAACAATTTTTACATTAATTAAACTAGAAGAAGAGAGAAAATCAAGGTGGAGAAAATGTTCAAGTCAAAGTTGCAAGAATTGTGTCACCAGAAAAAATGGGCTCTGCCAATATATTCATGCATCAAGGATGGAGCAGAGCATAGCCCACAATTCAAAGCTTCAGTTGTTGTTAATGGCATCAACTTTGATTCACCTAGCATTTCTAAGTCCTTGAAAGAAGCACATAATGAGGCTGCTAAATTGGCTTTCCTCCACTTCACTTCTGGTGACTTATCAAGAAAATTTTAGAATCTTCTTGAGTTTTGTGTGAATTTGTTTCCTGTTTTGTTTTATCATTCAATGTGAAATAGTTGTGGCAGAATACAATATGTCAGATTTTGACATTGAAATTTCAGGGCTAAAGGACATTAAATTTAAGATGCAATTAGATGAAACAATTTTTTGCTACTAGCACAATCAATTGAGCTCAGAGATTTTCAGTATTAAAAGTTTTTTCATCCAAATTGCTATGAATTATGTGCTAGGACTCTGTTTCAACAGAGCTTCATGTAAAATCAAATTATGTGACTTGCTTTAAGTATCATTTCGTATAGACAACTTTTTTTTTAAAAAAAAATTTCAAGTCATGAAACGTTGGTGAAAGTCAGGATTAAACACGTAAAGAAGTCTAACTAATGTGGATCAATTGTGGTTTAAGTCCCAATATGTCTGTGTCTAATTAGAAATATGCTATTAACAGAAATTAAATCCACAAAACTTGATTTCTGAGCTATGTTATTGCTAATTGAAAGCCTAATATTTAATTGGAGAGAATATCTAATGTATAATATCTTGGAGTAGACCATCTTTCAAGTTGAAATTTCCAGAAAGTTTTGCCTAAAATATTTCTGACTCTTAGCCACAGCAATTCGCTAAGCTGTAGCATTTTTTGTGCATCTTTAACGTTTTTCACATTTCATGAAATGTAGATGAAAAAGCTATTGTTGAAGGATCAAAGACTGAACGAAGGTTGAAGGGCAGAGATATTAATTCAAATGCTTTGAGCAATGAAGCTGGTAGGAAAATTTATCTCCTTTGCCTTGCTTCAGACACTTCTCTCACTTGCCTGCCTTAATTGATCCTTTTTTACTTTGATTTCCTGTCATTCTAATCCCTTTCTTAGCTTCATATCCATGTGAATGACTTGATTTATTTTCTAAATTTGTACCAGTCCAATGTTGTTAACATTTTAGTAATGGTGGATGATAAATCAACTAATGCAGGTCCAGACATCGAACAAGCACTGAAGGATGGGGCTATAAATAGTAGCGAAGATGGTAAGGAAGTCTGTGACCTTTGTCCCACCTTGCATTTTACATATCTTTCCAAACTTTTTCATCCAACTTTTGGAGGTCCTTACCGATTATATTCTTACTTTTATGGTATCTTTGGTGGAAACAGCTTGATTTTTTTTTTAATTCCATAGTCAAAACTATGATGAGAAGTTTACATTTGCTTTGCATGAAATGATCCTTTCATCTATATAATTAGGATGTGGTCAACTAGAATGCACTCTATTGTCCCCAGAAATTGTTCTTTCATATGTTTGAAATTAGTATGTTGTATTCTGCTGTTTTTAGACAGCTTTCTTGAAGTTAAATTTCATCTCTGCCCAGCCACTTCAAAGTGCTCACCTGCAATCTCATTGGTGCTTCATGCTTGCAGAAGTGCAACAAAATTACAAGAGGAAGCTGCAGAAGTATGCTCAGACAAAGAAACTTGATTTTCCTTTATACCGTACTAAGAGAGTGGAGCAATCTGATGCTCTTTGCTTCACAGCGAAAGTTTTAGTTGGTGAAGATATCTTTGAAAGTCCAGGATTCTATGAGACTACAAAAGATGCAGAGGATGCTGCTGCACAGGCTGCACTAACATCGCTGACAATGGATGCCTTTCGCAAGGTAAGTTATCATTGGATTCTCAATTCTACCTTCTAATTCTTTCTAAAGGGACAGTTGTTAAAATAAGTAGTACGGGAGGAGGTGGCAATAAAGAAATGTATTTCATCATTATTCTATTGTCCTTAGTCCTATCTGTTCGCATCTGTGTTAACCTTTTTGCTTTGTATTTATGAAGAGTGATGATAATATGTACAAGAATCTGCTGCAAGAATTTGCTCAGGAGAATGGGTTTTTCTTGCCAAAATACAAAACTATGAAATCTGGTGAGGATCATAAGTCAACATTCTTCTCAACTGTGGAAGTAGGAGGAGAAATTTTCCATGGGAATCCGGAGAAGTCCAAGAAGCTGGCAGAGTTTAGTGCTGCAAAGATTGCACACACTGCTTTAATGCAGGGTAAGTGACTCCTGCAACATTAGTTCTTTTGCTTATTACAACATATGGAACTTTTGGGAAACTAAGAATCATAACTACTTTATAAATTCAAGTAAAACTAAGCAGCCTCTGTTGCTTTTTTTTTTTTGAGAGGGGGGGGGGGGGGGGGGAGGGTACAAAGATCAGCTAACATATACTATATCCTTGTGTAAGAATTTTTGTTAATATGTTCAACTTCTCTCACAAGCTTAACGATATAACTAATGAAGACTTTTAGTGGCATATTACCACATGACTTCTGCTGAATGGGAATTGGGAATCTCAACTACATTGTATTTGCAAGCTTAAGTTACTGTGTTTTATTGTTATAATCTTTTGCTTGAACCTAGGTTTATAGACGATATACATATATATACCTTATGAAGTCCTGTCAAATATTGAACTGGTTGAATACATAAGGAAAACCAGGAGACGCACTTGAAGGTAATTCAACTCTGATATTTGTTTATCTTGGATTTACAGCATGCCTTGTGCTTTCTTGACTGATTAAGTCTTCCCTGATTCAGGAAAATCCTGTTTGTTGGATGACAATACATCTCTTTCCTCAAAGGATGACATTCTTGAAGTTGCTCCTAGCTTGGACTCACTCACCATTGGTGATCAGCAAAGGAACTCCAATCCTGGAACTCAGGCTGATGAAAGCAAAGGTTAAATCATTTGTAATCTAATTTCACTGGTTTCGTACCTGTTTATTTCACAAACTCTTGCTCTTTCATATTTCATTTTAAGATTAAGGTTGGATGAGATAATGGATAATTTCACTATCTAGCAGATGAAGATGAAGAGACTGATTCCAGCAATCATGAATTTACAGCAATCATGAATTATACATGATAACAAAATTGATCAGATGTTCTCTGAAGCCCGACTTAAGTGTGCTACTTAAGAACCAATTGTGTTAAATATACTATCATGCCTTCTTACATTTGCTTCGCGCTAACTGCAGATTCTTCAAGCAAGAAGACTACAGAAGATATCAATACATACCTGCTATGTAACAGGGTCAGAGTGTATACATGCATTCCAGAGATGATCTTTTCCAAGGGCAATGTAGCACTACCAATTGCTGAGGGCAAGTGGGCAGTCGTGAACTTGGAGTTCCCCAATGAAAAAGATGCATAACCATTACTTCCTATTATGTAACTTGGTATAATTAATTTCTGTTACTATCTAATTATTCAAGTGAAACTAACCGCAGTTCAAACAATTTGACTGATAATTTGATATGCAGCATATGCGCTGCAATCTGCATTTCAAAACAATGAATATTTGCTCAGATGGATGAGACTAAAATAGGCCCAAGTTGCAGAGAGGATATACATTAAGTGCATTTTCTGATATATTGTGCATTTGCCAAAACCAAGATGCTCTTGAACTTCTTGCAATTAGGGAACAGCTTTATGCCTTTTGCATCAACATGACATATCTTTTGTGCAGACTTAGGTAAAGTTTGCAGAAAATAAAAACAAACAATGGTCCTTGACATGCCCCCCATCCTTTGGGAAATGAAAGGGAGAGTAAATCATCATATAAAGTCAGAGCCATGATAAGTTCACGAAAGAGTTTCAACAACCTCATTGAAGCAATAATATGTTCTTTTATATATCTTGTTCAACTTGAGAGCGTAAAATAGAATAGAAATATCAAATTCAATATTTCTTTTTATTGGACATTCATCGAGTAACTTTAGAGCCATTCTCTGGGAATCTGTCAGTCTGCAACCCAAATTTTTTTAAAGAAAAAGATCAGAACTAAAAGTAAGTTAATAATATTTTTGTAAGGAGTGACAACAGTGAATCCACAAAAGCTAACAAAAAAGGATGCACCATACCATATAATAGATCAAATCATGAATGTAGACTTCTTGTATACAAAAAAAAAAAAGAAAGAAAGAAAGTGCACAAAATTATCATCCTTTAACCGCTTCATATATGCAAAACAATCGATGATATGTGTGTCAATATAACCAAAAAATAAGCTCAAAAGTTTTTTTTTTAAAAAAAAGACATCAATTATCAAAATTTCGAAAACCTAGAACAACGAAGAAATTATGAAATTGATATGGTAAAAAAGCCAGTACCATTAGAGAATCTGCAAAACAGTTATGCAGAAAATAATAAATAAAACCTTCTCATAGACTTGGCAATGCAATCTGTGACAACTAATAGGGATGATTGTATAGTCAAAGCACATAAATAGAACTTAAGATGAAAAGGATACCTTTATATTGAAATTTTGATTTGAAAAAATAGATTTTGACCGATGATGAAGATAAGAGGTTTACATAGTTGTGACTTGCTGAAGATGAGAAAGCGTCAAAGAAGCATGAGTAAGAATTTTGTTTCAAGAAGCTTATTGATAATTGAAAAAATAATAATACAACAAATCTAGAATGAGAAAATAAGGGTAATCAACTAAACAAACTTATAGGATAAGGAAGACTAGCCTGATAAGGATAATCCAGATTATAAATTTTGAAATTTTCAAATAGAGAATTTGTTAGGTTGTTGTTTGAAACTTGAAAGACAGACCAAGTGATGGAGTTTATGGAAAAGCTACTTGGATTAGTGGATAGAAAGAGAAAGATGAAAAAGATTAGCAAGCGGGCGTTTATTTTTAGAGCACGTTGTAATTACATGCTTTTTCATTAAGTTAAGTAGGAAAGATATATAAATATATATATATACACACACATGATGCGAGTTGAATTTGGAACATCACTTCATCGTGTAAAAGAGATGACAAGGATTATAAGATAAAAAATTAAATTTTTATATACTACTCCCTCCGTCCCAAAAATTTCGTCGCACTTAGAAAACAGTGTGTTTTTTATGAATAGTTCCAGCACAAGTGAGTTGCTTACCATTTTGTCCCTCGCCCAAGCTCTTCATGTAAATGCACTGGGGATCCGATATTGATGCTAATTCAAATTAAAAGCCTAAAGAACTACTGGAGGTAGGACCAGAACTTTTGTTTTGTTTGCATATGTCTTGTGCGTGCTTTGCACGCTGAAGTTTCAACCAAGTTCCTTTTGGTTTTTCACTCCACGCATATATTCATATGAACTTTTGAAGCACGTGAATACTGAACAAGTGGGTTCAAAGGGCACACTTCACTTGATTATTGTGGGGACCAAAAGGGTAAAAGAGTGAAATTGAATAAAAAGTCTTTACTATATTTAGTAAGTGACAAATATTTTGGGACAGCCCAAAAAGGAAAGCATGACACTTTCAATGGGACGGAGGGAGTATTAGTGTAGAATTTTTTTTTTACACTATTAATTTTAGATATATGTCACGTGTAGAAATTAAATTTAAAAGTTGAAATTAAATAATGTACTCTATAAGATGAAACAACATGGGGTCAATCTTTTATCTTGTGCCTTCATGCACAGAGTGGTAGAATCCAACTTTAAAAAAATGGTGATGGGAAATCATATGATGGAGCCGTTAGTTGACGTGCCCAATTTGCAGCACTACGATAAGTTTGGTAGGGGAGAACTGGTAGAAGAAATTATTTTTTATTCCTTTTTCAAGACGAGGAGAAATTGATATAGTTTGAATCGGAATCCAGCTTTATTTGGAGAATAAATTGGATTCGAAAAGGAAGAGAAAAGAAAAGGAAAAAAGGGGGCACCTCAATCATCTATATAAATATGAGATGATGAGCAAAAGATAAAAATGTAAAGCAAAAGGTAGATTACTTTAGAATAAAGGTAAAGTAAATTTATCCATTTAAAAGTACGATAGGATTCCGGATAAGACTATTCAAAACATATATAAATATGTTGTAACCCAAGCATTTATTATTCTCAATTACTTGCATAATTCCTACTTTCCTAGCTTCCAAAATCTAAAGCTTTTTAGACACGAAAAAAGGAGAAAAAAAAAATCAAGAAGATCAATATGGGTAGCTGTGAAGAAAACATGGCTGCTTGGCTATATGGTGTTAATGATCTCAGAGTCCTGCCATACAAACTCCCTGCCCTTGGTAATTCATCTCTTTGGTTTTTTTTTTTCAATTTGTTGATAATTTTAATTTGTGTTCCTTTGAATCTGTTCTTTCCTAATTTACCAGATGAATTATTGTTAATTAGTACTTTCCCATGAGAATCTGTTCATGACAGTATTTTAGCAATCCTTCAAAATACCAAATTCTATTAGGTGAAGATATTGAAATGTTTTTTTTCCCAGTCTATTATTCTTTTCTTTTTTGTGAATATGCATTGTTTCATTTTTTTTTTTGGGCTAATTTTTTTTTTTTTAATTTTGTTCTAGGTCCTCGTGATGTTAGGGTCAGTATGAAAGCTGTTGGTATATGTGGGAGTGATGTTCATTATCTCAAGGTAAAACCCCCTTAACTATGGTACCATAACCTTCTCTTTTCTTTTTTCTTTTTTTCTATTTATATAAACATTTATCAATAAAATTAAAGGGCTGACATCCCTTATATTAGAGGAATTGTCCAGTCACCAATTTATTTCGCGTGCGTTAAAAATTTTGAAATTATTTGTTGGAAGCGTTTGTTCACTAATCCCATTGTAGCAATGCACAAATCCTTGTTCTATTTTATATGCAACGAATAATTTTAAGTTGTCGACATTTGATTGTATAAAAATTTTGTATACTGTTAATGTAGAAAAGATTAATCCTAATGTCCATATCGAAAATATATTCCTAGACTATGAGCTGCGGGCACTTTCTTGTGAAAGAACCAATGGTAATTGGTCATGAGAGCGCTGGAATCATTGATGAAGTTGGATCGGAGGTTACAACACTAGCCCCCGGCGACCGCGTTGCACTCGAACCCGGAACTGGTTGTTGGCGATGTGATCGTTGCAAAGAAGGCCGGTACAACCTTTGCCCTGATATGAAATTTTTCGCCACCCCACCAATCCATGGCTCTCTTGCCAAAAAGGTATCTGCCTGTTGAAAATACTTGGTAATATATAGAATTTGGTTTCTAGCCATGTTGATCACTAAAGATTTTTGCAACATTTTCTTTCTCCCAATAGATTGTGCATCCGGCGGATTTGTGTTTCAAGTTGCCGGACAATGTGAGCTTGGAGGAAGGGGCCATGTGTGAACCATTAAGTGTGGGTGTGTACGCTTGCCGTCGTGCTCAGATTGGCCCTGAGACGAATGTTTTGGTGATGGGGGCAGGACCAATTGGCCTCGTCTCTTTGCTAGCTGCTCGTGCATTTGGTGCTCCAAGAATTGTCGTTGTTGATGTTGATCGCAACCGTCTGTCCGTCGCAAAAGAGGTTGGAGCATTTGCGACGGTACAAGTTTCAACCAAAACTGAGGTTTGTCCCACGTTACAATAAATCTTGCATAGACTGACAGTATATTTTTCAATCAGTGTGGATGCATGCCACTTATATAAAATCAAAGTTCAAATTCAATTTGGGATTAGATGACATGCTTCTATATCCAACCAATATACAAGATTAATCCAATTTAATTATGTCTTAATGCAATTTTTTTTATCCTTTTTTTTTTGGGCAATATGGAAGGATATTGAGAAAGAGGTGGAACAAATCCAAAAGGCAGTGGGAGGAGTTGGCATCGATGTAACCCTAGATTGTGTTGGTTTCAGCAAAACTATGAGCACAGCTCTATCTGCCACGAGAAGTGGTGGCAAAGTTTGCCTTGTGGGAATGGGACACTGTGATATGACTATTCCCCTCACCCCAGCTGCAGCAAGGTTGGTGTTTATTTGGATAAGTGTTCTTTTGGAAAAATGTTTGTATTGGAATATTTCGAATATGTTTTCCAAAGTTACTTTTGTGTAACTTTCTCTATCAACTTTGCATCTGGAATATTATTTTTTTTTTCCTGCAAATGTTTTGAAACAACTCGATTGATGGGGTTTTTCTATGTTGATAATTAATAGGGAAGTTGATATTCTTGGGGTATTCCGCTACAAGAACACATGGCCTCAATGCCTTGAGTTTTTGAGCAGTGGCAAAATTGATGTGAAGCCATTGATAACCCATAGGTATGGCTTCTCTCAGGAGGAGGTTGTAGATGCATTTGAGACAAGTGCTCGTGGCAGTAACGCTATCAAGGTCATGTTCAATCTTTAGAAAAGGGAACATATATTATGCTTTCTTTTTGGGAGAGGCTATGGGAGAAGTTGCCCTATAAATGTTTTAAGGATTAAGTGTGTTAATTCACTTCCCTTTTGGTTTTTTCCTGCTTAAATTTCCAGGGTTTTTGGAGAGTTTTAAGGCAGGTTGCCTAGGGTTGATGTTTCTATGTATTCAAGTGTTAATTCCTTTTCTTTTTTCTATGTAAATTTTGATGTTTCTATGTGAAAGGTCTGATGCACCAATTATATAATCCGTTATTAGGTTTAAATGGTTCGATTGTTGAAACACTTCTCATTTTCTGTTCATGTCAATATATAGATGAATAATATCACCATTTATGTTTGATAAGGTACTCATTCTTAGATGGATTTTTTTTTTTACAGGACATTTATTCTAATTCCTAGTTAATCCACATTGACACCAAAGTTTAATTTCTTTGATTGGGACGAGAATTGGAGAAGAGCTTTGCTCTATTTCTTTATATCTGTTCTTTGATATCTGTGTATGTTTGATGATGTAATTTCTGCCATTAGTACAGATTTTAATGAAATATGATATTTTTATCAAAAAAAAAAAAGAAGAAGATAACTTTAAAATCTCAATTATATTCTATAAATAAATTATGACTTGGGAGTTTTGTATCATATGGACCAATCTTTTCACTAATTTTAGCTAGTTCTCCCATGATGGCCTAAGGTTTTCCACCTTAGGGTGCTTATTTCTAAACTGATTATCGAATATTCAAGTGATTTGGGTCATTTATTGTCCTTAAAATCTCAGAATTTAATGATTTTTTTTGGCTAATAGATTGCAAGTGAAAAGTAAAATTACAAAACTGTCAGCAGCGACTGCATGGGGACGCGATTAAAAGAAAGGGATAGTTTCAGTAACCTCCCTCCAAGTTCATGACAATTTCACCTAGTACTATTGAGATTTTCAATATTATATTTACCTACCTCGGCCCTATAAAATAACCATTATAATCTTATCATATCAATATTTTTCATGCAATTAAACAATCTGCTCCTAATTATATGCATATAAGTGCATTTCACACAATTAGACATTAATGGAAACAAAAATAAAATTCATTCATAGAATAACTAATTATGTCCTAAACACAATTTTAACATTATAATTAATTTTAGCTTTGGTTGAAGCATCTGGAGATGAATAAGAGAAGATGCAGGTTAAAGGTTTAAGAAAAAGGCAACAATAATACTTGCTCTATAAAGCACCCAATGAATTTCTCTTAAAAAAGCTTTTTCAGCCTCAGATCTTCACAAGATGGAGTGATTTGCGGCTCCAACCCCTGCATCCACAACCAGGATTGCAATGTCATCTGATTTTGGAACTAATTCTTGTCTTAGGCTCTCTTCTTCTCCCCTTCCTTTTTCTTTCTATAATTTCTTTCAGTTTTGCTACTCTTTCTTGACACAACACGTTTCAAAGATTCTCTTGTCCAATAACTTCTAAGCCTTCTACTTTGACGTTTGAAAGAACTAAATTAACCCCCCCAAGAAAAAATAACATAAACAAACTAAAAAAAATGATGTTACTGCAGGTAGTAATCAATGAAATGCAATTCTAGAATCTTTTATTCATTTCTAGGGTCAGAAAAATACAGGTATTGATCCAGAATTATACAAACACAAGTACAAGAGCAAATCACGATACAGCAAATATATTAGCCTTAGTCTTCAGTTGTCCTCCTGAAACACCTGAGGCAATTAATGATGTATAGGCCAATTACAACAGCCAATAGAACAACCACAGCCACATCCATTGCTCTCCTTGACATCTTCAGTTTTGCTGCCGGATCAACTGCAGATTGGTTGTAGTTATCTACACTTGTTTTTCCACTTCCGTCCACAGTTTCACTAGTTCCTTTGTCCTTCATATCTGCAGCCTTTGCTTCTTCTTTCTCTGGCTTCTTCTGAGTAACATCTTGAACATCAGTCTGCTTAGATGGACCATCTATTGGACTGGTTTTGTCTGCAGTTTTCTGCTGAACAGTCTCCTGAGGTCGTGCCTCATCCTCAGGCTTCTGGAATTGCCGTGGCTCATCTGCAGGCTTCTGGGATACTGTTGACTCATCTGTAGGCCTCGAAATGTCAGACTTATCTGCAGGTTTCTGGGATTGTTGTGGCTCATCTGCAGGCTTCTGGGATCCTCGTGACTCATCTGTAGGTCTCAAAGATTCAGGCTTATGATCTGCAGGCTTCTGGGATCCTCGTGACTCATCTGTAGGCCTCAAAGATTCAGGCTTATGATCTGCAGGCTTCTGAGGTGTGGGACGTTCAGGGATAGTCAATTTGCTATCTTGCTTGCCTCCTGGAGCGATGAGTTTTGGTAGTCTAACGTACAATATGCCTCCGTCAAACTTGGCAGCAATTTTTTTAGTGTTAATATCAGATGAAATACGAAATTCTTTCTGGAAGCGGATAACTTTATTGTTTTCAGCCTCTCTCTCTCCACTGACCCTCAACTTTGCGCCTGCGGTCAGCTGGACGTTTAGTTTCTCCCTTCTAAAATCTGCAGAATTCTGTTTGTAAGATTTCAAGACTTAAAAGTGCTTGTGAACCCTCCATGAATCAGACTAGAATGGACACAGGAGGAAAGCATGCGATTTATCCGGGTGCTATTATTGGATGATCCTCAGATTCCAAGAAAAGATCATACTTAAGGGACAGCAAATGTTCCATAATACATGTAAAAACTTTACTGATTGTTTGGCCCAAAATAATATCCGAAAAGAATACTCATCAAAGGAAATTAAGGCAAAATATACTTTGCATTCAAGGTTTCATTGAATTAATTTGTTTGCTTCAAACAGGAAAATGGTATCAATCTTCTTATATACAAGAGAAATGTGTTGGAAGATCAAATTGAATACATGTGAGAGATTAAGGTTGATAAAAAAAAAAAAAAAGAAATAAAAAGGATAGTCAGCCAAAAATAAAGAAAGAAAATAATGAATCTAAGAGAATAAGGAGTATACCAGGTAAATGGAGAAGAATGGTACTATAATCTTTATCCTTCACAGTTTCAACTAATGGTGCAAATTCTTCATCCTTGATAACTGCTTGTGCAGCAGCCTCCATCCTTCGAGTAAATTCAAGATTTTGGATTTGTTTTCTTTTTTAAATATATATAAATATGTATCTGTATGGATTTGGTGGTTTCTAAAGACTTTTATGATCAATTGAATATACAGCAAGTCAGATAATCTATGGATTTATACATCCATTTTTCATCAGGGTTTTATACATTTTGAGTTTCCTTTGATATCAAATATACCTTTTATTTTCTTGCTAGCTACATCTTCCCTTTCTTTGTTTGATAATCTTCCACTATTCCTCGGGAAAAGGCATGTTCCCACTACTTTTCCTTGAGGGGAAAGGCACTACTTTTCCTTGAGGGGAAAGGCAAAGAGCTAAAACAGGATTGCTTGAGCAATTCATTTTCCTTGAGGGTATAAATGTACTACTAGTTTTAGTAAAATTATATATTTTTTAACTCCATTCTTAGCAATGTGATCCTTCATCTATCATCAAATATTAATTAGTCCCCTATCTTTACAAAAAATCAGTAACGTAGGACCTTTGACAGAATTGGAGAAAAAATAGAGATATGAGTGTTCCCCGAACCTAACTAGTGCAATGTTCGTGTCCACATTTTATATCAATTAGAAAATTTAGTGATTTTGCTTGGATAAGTGATTTGCGGAAAACGTTGTCAGAATTTTTTCTAAATAAGTCTTTAAAATTATATTTTCAGAATTTTCAATCATTTTTTAATCTCACATATGTTATATTGCACAAAGCATTAAAGTGTTATTCTAGAAATTATTTAAAAAAAAAAAAAAACAGAGACAACCATGGCAATCGTGATTGGATTTTGTAGTTTCTTTGGGTATTCTTGGCATATTCCACAACAATTTGTGGATGCAATTAAGACAGGTGTTCATTGTAGTAGCCTGTGGATGCTCAAAAAGATATGGTTTGATTTTTTTCTAATTGTAATTTAATCATGCTTGTTTTGTTTTACCATTTTTTGGCAATTCAACTATTGTTTGCGGAAGCCAAAGAATGAAAAAAGTTTTATTTTCACATATAATTCTAATAGCTCTGGCAATCTATGTGATGGATTAAGCATAAATAAAGTCCTTTAATGAAATTACCAGTAGTATTGGGAGTAAATGGAAATCTATTAAGTTCAAGCCAAATGACATTTATGCTCGAGCTTAATCTCTCTGTCACCCTGGCACACTTTGAGTTAATCACATTTGTTGTCCCTGAAATTTGTGTTAATTACAAAATGGACATCAAAATTTGTCTAAATTAAAGTCCAATGCTTTGAATAGAAAATATTTTTCAACGAAGCACCTTCCAAACATTTACTAAGGAAACATTTTCCATTAGTCAATTGAAATAATGGCAACAAAACTCTGTATTAGTGGAATCATAAAATCGTACAATCCTACTACAAATGCAAACAACCAACATTTCATTCAATTGTATGCTTATAATTCATGAACACATAGAAATAGATATGAAAAATGCATCAAAAAAATAAATTTCTTCAACTAAGATTTTTAATTCTATCATCACATCTCTACAATAATAAAACAAGAGCGGGAGTTTGGTTTGGTGTAAACAATTTAGTGCCATCTTTTGTGATTTCAATTTTATCCTTCGAATTAACTATTAACCAATAATCATGTATACAACTAAATCTTAACTGCTTAATTGTCGATATACTCCAACTCTTTAAACTACACAACTACTTCTTTACGATTATAAATTCCTCACCACCCAATTATATATCAAATTAAACAGCTAAACATCACATAACTTCTAAAAATCTTCGTGCTTACAACTTCTAAATTCTCACTCCATAAAAGAATCTTTTGCCATCTACCATGACAAAGTACTTCTCCCGTTTCATCTTTTTACTTGGTGCGTTCTTTTGGGACGTAGATCTTTCATTAATCCATATTTCTTTTGTTTTTCATTTTGACTTTCCTTTTAACATGATATTTCTTTTGTCTTTCATTTTTTGTCCTTCCATCAATCTGTTTATCTAATTCGAACAATCAATAATACAAAAGTTCAAGTCACTCCAAAATTGATTCAACTTTAGCCAAGTGTAGATGATACAAACTCATCAGATAAAAAAAAATTTTAATTTCAAATTATTAGGATATCTCTTGGTTCAAATACTATGTATTTAAATCTTTAATCTTCTAGTGATCTAACTATAATCTACAAACTCTAATGATCCTACTAGTGTCGTGATCGAATTCATAAATTTTGAATTAGGATCGTAACAGCAGGATCAGGAGTTTAATAACCATGGCGCTAGTAGTGGTTTGGTCACTACAAATGCAGTTGCTCTAGTTCCTTGGTTTGGTCAAGACTGGATAATGTTTCTGCAAACACATGTTCGCACCAATTTGTTGCTAGATGCCTCGAGCTTCGCCTTCCTGGACAGTGGTATGGCGAATGCAGTCAGTCAAGTCATTTGGCCCTTCCACTATCAAACATGTCAGGCAGAGGCAGAGCATCTGATCATGGAGCTAATTCTTGTCTTAACCTCTCTTCTTCTGCCCTTCTCTTTCTTTCTTCAATTACTTCAGTTTTGCTATACCTTCTAACATGTTTCAAGACTTTATTGTCCAAATTGTAAGCTCTACTTTAATGTCCAATCGGTACAATGAAAGAACTAAATTAAACCACTCAAAAATCAATCAAAAAAGCAAACTAAAAAGATAAAACTGCAATTGTCGTGCACGAGCGCAACCACTAGACAGCAATAAATAAGCCTCAGTCTTGAGCTTTCCTCCAGAAAGACCTGATGAAATTAGGGAAGTATAGACCAAGTACTACACCAAAAAAACCAACCAAAACCACATTCTTTACTCTCCTTGACATCTTCAGTTTTGCTGCCAGATCAAGTGCAGTCCTCATGTAATTTTCTATCCATTTGCATTTTCATTAGTTCCTTTGTCAACCTCATCTGCAGGCTTCTGGGATGGCTGTGGCTTATCTGCAGGCATCCAAGATTCTGGCTTGTCTGCAGGAGTCTGAGGTGTTGGAGGCTCAGGGATAGGCAATTTGCTATCTTGCTTGCCTTCTGGAGCGGTGACTTTTGGTAGTCTAACATACAAGATGCCATCTTCAAACTTAGCACTAACTCTGTTGAATCATAATCAGATGAAACAGAGAAATCTTTCCGAAAGCTGATAGTTTTATTGTTTTCATCCTCTCTCTGTCCTCTGATCCTTACAGTATTTACTGAAGTCAGTTGGACCTTCAGTTCCTCCTTTCTGAAACCTGCCGGATTCAGTTTGTAAGTTTCTATGGTCTGAATTAAAGTACTTGTGAACCTTTCAAATATCAGAATGAACTGGACATGGGAGCAAAGTGAGTAAAATTCACTCTATACTCCAAAAATAATGAAATTAAATCAAAGAGTAGAAACCATAGCAGGTTTCATCTTAGTTTTTTGTTTGCTCCACATGAAAAGCTGATATCAATCTTCTATCTTCTTGTATAGAAATACAGGAGAAATATGTCAAAGATCAAATGTAATATATGTAAGAGACTGAGTTGGGGTTGATCAAAATACATTAGCCTCTAAGAGTAGCATATATCCAATCACAACTCACAAGATTTGGTAAACAAGATAATCAGCTAAATTGCAGGAAGATTACAGTCCATTGAGGACATTGTCTGTCAAAACTAGATTTCACAAGCATACATATTGTGAACATGAAAAACCTTCACATAAAGAATAATCCAACAGTGCATAACATTTCCCGAAGTAGAAAAGAACATGAAGTCATATGCTAATTAAATGGTTCATAGCAATTAAGCATAAAATGTTAGGAAACAGGTGTTAAAGTCCCAAAAAAAAAGGAAAAAAGGAAGAAGAAAATCCCACTAGGGTGAGGAGGTGGGGGGGGGGGTCGGGCGAAATAAAAGGACTATATATACCAGGTACATGGAGAAGAATGGTGTCACAATCTTTTGCCTCCACAGTTTCAGTTAGTGGTTCAATTTCTTCATACATGAGAGATGCAGGTGCAGCAGCCTCCATTCCCCGAGTAAATTCAAGAATTTGGACTTGCTTTCTTCACTCAAGATACATGTATATTGATTAGCTGGTTTCTAAAGACTCCTGTGGTGAATGGGATGTGTAGCCAGTCGGTTCATCTATGTATATATAACTTTTTAATACAATTTTCACTTAATACATACACTTTTTTTTTCTTACTAGCTATATCTTCACTTTCTTTGTTTGATACCTTCTGCTTTTCTTTTGTAAAAAGACATGTTCCTATTACTTTTACTTGTGGGAAAGGCAAAACAGCTAACCATGATTGCTTTATCTATTCATGTTCTATGAGCGTATAATTTTACTAGTTTAATTCTCTTGTTGCAGCTTTCATGGCTAAAGTGGAACTATTCTTTGTTTTGTTAATACTCCTCCAAGAATATTGGTACTCTCCTTGGTGGTAGCTGGGCAAGCATATACATTCCTGCCATCATCTCATGCCATGATATTTATATGTATGAAAACAAAGACTGCTTTTCTTTGCTGGCTTTTTTTCCCTTTTCTTTTTTATACATTATCTTTGCATGTTCCATATTTCTTTTGGATCAAGTGCAATCTACCACTTCAACTTTAATTACCTTTGCATTTGCTAATTTCTTATAGCAGACTACATCAACCATATCCTTTCATTTCAATTAAGTGTAACTTTTCTTCAAACCCCCAAATCCCCAATCTTTTGTTAAAGAGGACATGTAATATCCGAGCAGGCAACTTTTTTTAATCATCCAAGTTGCAAAAGAGAAATTAGTTTTGCTTAGCAAAGAGAATAATTATCTTTTAGGTGATAAAAATAATTACGTTCAGCTGAAGAGTGTTTTTAAGTTCTCAGACAGAAGTAATGAGAGAGCTACTGATCTTTGGTTTAATTCAGAGGTATCATTTCTCAAGGTTTTATCACCTGGGCCTGAGTATCTTGCTGCTAGCATAGGACATCTACACTATTGAAGGTTTCTACTGTCAACAATGAAAGTAAAGTGAAGAAACCAATGGAATTCAACAGGGCTTTGTCTTGTACCAAAGTTCATGAAAGTAATTAAACAATGAAGAGAAGACTTAATCTTGGTAGTAAAGTGACTGCAGAGCGGAGGAAGGCTGTTTAGGCCTACCTTCAGCTGTTGAGCTATAACTGCTGG